CATCTTATCCTTACTCAAGGTCAGAACTCTTGATTGGCCTGGTCATTAACTTTGAATGAAGGTGATCCATCAAACTTATCTTCACTTAAAAAGGCACCTTAGAAATAAATTTGTCTACTATCTTGATTTTTGCATTGAAATCTAAGTAGAGATGCAAATAATACACTTCCAGAGGACAAGAGCCTTCACCCCATAGAGGTTAATCCCCTTAGCTTTGATGCCCTGTCCTGGGGCTGAGCTGTCCTGGCTGGTGCTTGAATGAGGGAAAACTCATATAATACACTATTTCTAGCCAGCCCCAAATCATACTTTGCATCCTACCTAGCCATAATCAGGAGACCAGGGCGTCTCCAACTTGGGACTTCTATCCTGTCCCATTTTTAACCATGTTTTCCCTACCTGAACCACTAATTTTTACCCCAAGTTCTGGGAATAGCAATAAAATCAATGCCACCAAAGCTCCTAGAAAGGGTATGCAAATCCACTGCCCTGTGACTCCTCAGACCAAATTCCCCCTTTTTTTATCCCTATTCCCCATTATATGTTGTCTCCTTCTATTAGGATGTCAGCTCCTAGATAGCAGAAATAGTCTCATTTTTATATCCCCAGTATCTAATCCAGAGCTTGGCACATAGAAGGTGCTTACTTAATGCTTTCATTCAGTCATTCACTCACTGAGACACTGCCTTCTTAGGTCATGTAGAGTAGAAATTTGAAGTAGTTATACAGGTAGACTAGGCCTAAATCCTTCCTATGGAAAAAGGAGTATTCTTGCAGGAGATTTTTACCATTTTTCAAATTCGCTGAATGATTGCTTACTGTGTTGCATCAGTTTTCTCAGATAAGGTATAGCCCTGAGGTTATCATCCATGTTGCATGTCTCTGATAGAAGGTAGGATAAATAAAGGGAACAGCAAGAAGTCCAATTTGAATGGAATACAGAGTGAATTGTTTAGCATCCGAACTAATCGAATTGTGATAAAGAATCAGAGAGATGCTAGTATGTTTGGGAGCAGCTTTAGGTCGGGAGGCAAGGGAATTGATTTGTGGACTCTTGAGATTATTTCTGTCCATACCTTAAGATCCTTCTTGGTCACCACAGGAGAATGAAATGAACCCATGCAGATGTAGAGGGAAGAGAACTCAACCTCAGTCTTTTCCCTCTCTCGGGAATTCCCATCTCAAAATGGATGAAGGGCGAATGAGGGATATTGAATACATCTCCAGAGATTTCTAGGCAGTGTGGTAGGAAGGATGATGGATTTGGAATCACAGAACCCAAGGCAGCTCAGTGGCACAGAGGCACAATGGTCCTGAGTTAGGAAGACCTGAGTTCAAATTCAGGCATAGACACTTAACTAACTATATGACCCTGGGCAAGTTATTTACCCTTTACCTGCCTCAGTTTCCTCAACTGTACAATGAGGATGATAATAGCACCTACCTCACCAGATTGATGTGAGGATCAAATGAGATCATTTCTACAAAACACTTAGTATAGTGCTTGTCACAAAGTAGGTGCTTAATGCTTATTCTCTTCAAATCCTGGCTCTGCCACGTGACTAGAGTTTCTTCATCTATTAAATCAGAGGTTCCCAAACTTATTCGGCCTGCCACTCTCTTTTCAAAAAATAATTACTCAGTGACCCCAGTGACCCCCAGAAACATACTTTCTTTAACCTTTTAATGTTTTTTCTTTAAATTTGTGTCATTTCAAAAAACTATACAATTTTTTTTAAAAAAATGATACATCTTAAATTTGATAATTTATTGTAAATTTGTGGCTTTTTTCCTGCATTAAAATTTTGATAACTCAGTATTGCATCATGTAACTGATAGTATCATATTGTAAACAAGTCATTACACACACATGTTCCTGCCAATGCATGCTAGACTTCCTGATTATGGGCAACACACTCTCCTGCCAACAACTGCTTGTTAAGACCTGTCAGTGGACTTGACCACTGATTGGTTATAACTTGCATTTTTTGTGTTTATTTGGAAAATAATGTAACCACTGTGACTTTAACTTTGTTACACAACAGATGAAACATGTACGAATAGTTTTACAAAATTTTCTTATTTTCTCCTCTTTCCTTATGCTTCTACTGACCCCTTATTTTTATTCAATGCCCTCCAATTACACCCAAAGCTACCACCACCCCCCTTGGACTGTCCCAGCGCCCTCCAGAGGATGATATCACCCACTTTGGGAATCTCTGGATTAAATGAAGGGGTTAGATTTGATGGCCTGTGAGTTTCCTTCTGCCTCTAAGACCTATGACCTTATAGTTCACAACAGTTAGTATGATGCATAGAAGGTGAAAATGGACCTCACTACCTCTCTGACAGCTCGGTGGAAAAATAACAATAAAATAATGGAAATAAAATAGTTAAAATGTATATAGTTCTTGAAGATTTGCAAAGCACTTTACATGTGTTATCTCATCTGGTCTTCAAAACAGCCCTGTGAGGTCAGTGCTTTTATTATCCCCATTTTACAGGTGAGGAAATTGAGGCTAAAAGAAATTAAGGGACTTTCTCAGGATCACACAGCTAACAAGTGTCTGAGGCAGGATTCAAACTCAGGTTTTCATGACTCCAAGTCCAGCAACCTTGCTGTGTCAGGGATAATCAATTGACAAGGGGGGAAACCCCTTTAAAGACATTCAAATGTGTGGGGAAGAACAAATGGTATTGTTTTCGTGTACTGGGAGCCATGCACATACCTGGGTAGCGCATGGAGTGAGTATGGCTGCAGTAAGAACCAATAAACAATGAAACAGTAGCCTCCCAGCAGAAGCTGCATCCATTTCAGAAGTAAGAATGGCAAAGGCACTTGTCAAAGACAAGGGAGATGCGTGCCAAGTCACTGTGAATACAAAGTACCACCTTCTCTCCACCGGAGTTTGCCAGCCCAGCCAAGAAAAGCCAACAGTGGTAAAATTTTGTTGCCCATGATCTGACCTTAATCTGGAGCGACAGTTTTGGCCTTGAAGCTCTTATTTTGGGGGTGAAGCAGGGAAGTTGCGGGCCCGTGCTGATGAAAGTCCCCTTAAGGCTGATGTTCCTGGGATTGTGCAGCTGGGGTCATCCAGGAATCCTGTTCTTGATGAAGAATATGTGTCAATGTCCCTTCTGACACTCCAACTGGCCTGATCCCAGGAAGAGATATCCTAGGGTGGGGTACTCCCTGCTTTGGGTTCAGCTATGGGCAGCAGGGAGGACCCAGGGATCCAGCCTGAGTAGGTCATGTTACTAAAGGAAGCAAACAAGGAGGAACTGTGACTCCAGACTGGGCTAATGCACCTTGGGAAACGAAATGTATTTTTGAAGTTCTCCCAATCTCTACTTTCAAGGAGTTGAGCCCAGGGAAGAAAGATGTACACAGTCATTAGCATCTACCGCAGAAAGCCTTCGTTTCAGTAACAAATGTAAGGACTGGGCCAGTGATTTCATTATTACATAGAACTGCCAAGTAAGGAAACTCTACCAATGCAGGTTGTCATTTTCTCTGCAATTTAGAATCTTAGAGCCCAGAGCACAAGAAGTTAAATGACTTACCCAGTCACATAGCCAGTGTGCATCAGGAGCAGCACTTGAATCCAGGTCCTCAAGGCCAGCTATCTAGCCAATATACCAGGCTGCCACTTGCTTCGACCAAGAATGTGGTAGATGTAAGTGTAGTTCTGCCCTAGAATGACATTTCTTAAGTACAACCTGACAGGGACTGGATTAGAGGGAAACAGCCAGTTATTTGCTGAGCAGTTTAGGAAGGCTTTATCCCTTCCTTCCTTCATCTTTTTTTTTTTTTCATCTAAACCATTCATTCAATAAATCTTTCAATAACTATTTATTGAACATTTATCACATTGTAGGAAGGACTAAGATGTCAGAATATGTTAAAATAAAACTGTAAAGGTTGCTTGACTTGTTTTGGAGAAAGGATATTCCAAAATCAAGTCCTAATGAGGAGAAAGTTCAGATGCAGAGGTGTGAGAGCACCTCTTTGAATAGAAGACTCTCCAAAGAATGGGGGTCACTATAGTGACAGGGAGAGAAGACAGGAGTGAGGGAGTCAACGATACTCTTTAATCCATGATTCCAAATTTATATGAATCAATTGACAAGTATTCATTAAATGCCTACTACGGGCCAGGCACTGCGCTAGGCACTGGGGATATAAATATGAAGAATGAAGCAATCCCTCTTCCACAGTGAGCTTACATTCTAATGGGTGAAACAACAAAGGCATATAAAATATGTAAAGCACAATATAAAGTTAACAAATTATATGTACATACACATGTATACATACATGTATGTATTATATATATTTATGTGTGTATACACACAGACACACACATACATATATATATATATATATAATTTAAAGTATTGGGAAGGATAACACTAGTAGTTAAGGGAGAAATCAGGAAAGGTTTTATGTAGAATACAGTGCTTTGGCTGCATCCTGAAGGAAGACTGGAATTCTGACATAAAAGTAAAGAGGATGTGGGTTCTAGACGTGAGGAAGTCTAGTACAGAGGTGTGGAGATGAGATGAAGTGTTTTTTGTGAGAGAAGAGAGGCCAATTTGATTTGATTGCAGACCATGGGAGAAGGAGCAAGGTCCAGTGAAGCTCAAAAGATGGATTTTGAAACTGAGGCCAGGAAAATCCAGGTTCATATTTAGTATTTTAACAGTCAATTAGTATGGAATCCAATGTAGAGTCACAGAGCCCTGGGCCTGAAAGGGACCTTAGAGATAATCTAGTTCAAACCTCTGCATTTTACATATGAGCAAACTGAAGAGAAATGAGTTGCTCGTAGTCTCACAGCAGAGCTAGGAATAGAATACATGTCTCTCGATGTCTTCTCCAGGGATGTTTCTACCGTACTACTGTGGTCAGGCTCGTGACTTCCAGGAAATGCTACTGTATGTGGATTTAACATTGAAAATGTGTCTTATACAAACTGTTATTTTCTTTTCTGATATAGATTTGGTTCTACACAAATAGGATCTTTTCTACTGCTGGGATACCTACAGAGAAGATTCCATATATAACCCTGAGTACTGGTGGCATTGAGATTTTGGCTTCCATCTTTTCAGTAAGTATGTTATTGGCTACAGCTATGTAATGAGAAACCTTACAGAGTTCAACAAAGCAAGTTTTTCTCAGAATGTATAAAGCCAAAAAATTACTGTATTCTGTCAAGGTGATCTTTTCATACTGAAGACACCTTGCATTTTAGAAGATTTCTAAGGTTTACCTTAGAATCGACAAGAACAATTTTTCTATCATTTGTCTTCATTTTGGGAAAATAATTTTTTATGTATCATTATAGAGCCTAATGGATTCCTTCTATTGATAAACTCCACATTTTTTTGCTATTTCTTTTACTGTTTTTCTCCACCTACCTCTTGTTCTCGGTATAAAAGATATGCAAGTTAGGCAAATACTGGGCTATAGAGTAGATGCCAAGTCAGCTTTTGTCCATCTCGGGGAGTCTTTTCCTGCACAATTCTCTTCATCACCCTGCAAGAAAACCTCAGAGTCATGTGGGCTTCTTCTGTCTCACTCCACACCCAGTCAGTTGCCAAGTTATATCTATCCTACCTCTATAAGAGAGGGGTTTTCACTTTTTGTGTTTCATGGACTACAGTCTATGAACCCCTTCTCAGGATGATTTGTTGCCTGCATTTATAACTAAAGAAAATACTAAATTTCACTTTGAAGTTAGTGAAAATTAAATGTATATTTTTCCCATCCAAATTCATGGGCCCCCTGACTCTATCAATAGATGCTTTGAATCCTAGGTTAAGAACCCATGCTCCATCTCTTACCTTTGCTTCCTTCCTTCCCTCCCTGCCCTTGCCACACTTGCCAGCTTGCTCATTGTTTCTCATCTGAGGTATTGCAACAGACTCTTCTCTCCTTTCCTGCATTCAATCCTTTGTTACATTCAACTGGCTTTAATAGAGCTAGGCTAGGGGTTCCCGAATATTTTCAGTCCTCCATATCCCACTGATTTTCAGTTAGCCTTCTTGTACTCCTTATTCAATATAAGAGGTTGCTGTGCACAGGCCCATAAGAAATTAAAAGAGATTTTTTTTATAAAGAAAACTTTATTTGATATATAATGTTTTCCCAATATCATAAGGTTTTAAATGTTTATCTGAACATAGTCAAATAATGTAGTGAGACCATTGATTGTGTTTCTTTTAAACCTATAGCTTTACTTCAATATAGTTTTTTGTTTTATTATTTTATTTTTTCCTAATTACACATAAAAACAATTTAAACTTTCATTTTTTACAACTTTGAGTTCCAAATTCTCTCTCACCTTGTCCTCTCATTGAGAAGGCAAGCAATTTCATAAAAGTTATCCACATGTGGTCGTGCAAAACATATTTCCATATTAGTCATGTTGTGAAAGAAAACACGGACAAAAAATCCAAGAAAAATAAAGAGAGTGAAAAAACAGCTTGCTTCAATCTGCATTCAGATTCCACTAGTTCCTTCCCTGGAGGTGGATAGCATTTTTTATCGTAGGTCAGAATTGTCTTGGATCTCTATATTGCTGAGAGTAGCTAAGTCATTCAGAGTTGATCGTTATACAATTCAATATAATTCTTGAAAGAGACACTGGCTTTTCATTTTCTACCTCCTTTTTGTTTTTTCCCCTTCTGGCTTTGATTGAGAACTGTACTGAGAATCCTGATTCACAGATGAAAGTTGTTATCAGTAGAATGAAAGTTTGGTGAGTATGTTTCATAAGAAAGGGATAGACTTCTCCAATGGCACACCAAACTTTTTGTAATGTCATTGATTGGAAATCAGTTAGGAGTTTCTGGTTATTGCAGAGATAGATTAGTATTCCCTGGTTCATTGCTGTTGATACTTTCTAGATCATTATGAAAAGGATGTGATATCCCAATCTCATTCATTTGATCTCAGTCAGTAGGAATTATTTATCTGATTGTCTCAAAATTTTCAGATGTTCTGTAGTATTCCCTCCATTTCTTACCCTGCTACCATCTCTCACCATATTTTTCTCCAAATGCATTTTTTCTCCATGAATGCTACTCGTTTTAGAATCTATAATAGGGTAAGATAGTTATTTACCAAATAGCCCCCATAACCCTTTTGCAAGCTTCTTATGCTCCTTTGGAGTTTGAGAACCCCTGAGCTAGACAGAAATTAGCTTTAATTGTCACACTCAAGGATCTCACAGACAAATGTGAGATCCCAGGGCATCACCACTTCTCTTGACTTTTGTCTTGCCGCCAGACTCCAATGACTCTGTAAGAGAGAGTGAAGCTGACGACTATGCAAATCTGCCTCACTTAAATTTAATCTACAAGTCAAGACATCAGTCTTGTGATATTATTGGTCGTCTTCATCATCAACAATGTACACACACATGTGTACACACACACACACACATATATATACACATATATACATATATATATACATATATATATACATATATATATATATATACATATATATATATATATTTGGCATAGTCCCCTATGCCCACCTTAGCACTGAAGTCACTAAGTATCACAGTAGGTATTGCTTTAATCTGGAGGATCAATGTCATCCTTGTACTAACTGATAATAGCAGTTATAATAATGTCTTATAGCACTCTAAGGTAAGTACTTTCCCAACATGAGGCAGAGAGTACAAATGTTATTATCTCCATTTTGCAGATAGGAATGTTGAGTCTCAGAGAAGTTAAATGAGTTGTCCATTGTCACACAGTTAGTCAATGTCAGTGGTGAGATGTGAACTTAGTTCTTCTCACTCCACCTGTTCTACCAGGTTACTTCTTGCTAAGCTATAAGAAGGTTCTAAGCTATGGAGTCCTGTAACAGCATAACAATCAGTTCCCAAACTTCACTGTGACTATCCATGTGACCTACCCTCCTCTGCTTCCATACTTTCCACTCAAGGTGAGGATATGAAAGTCCAAGACTTCTGGAGTTAGAAGCGATTGCATACCTCTCTCTCTCTGTGCAAACTTTTTTAAAAATGGGTTAAGCAACTAAAATTAGAATGCCACCATATCAAATTGTATTCAACTCAGAGAGAACCTTCTTACTTATTCTAATTACATTCTAACTTCAAGTTAGGATCTTTTCTGTTCAGCTTTCCAGCAGTATTAACTGCTATAGAAAGATTAAGGTGAATGAGAATTTTAAGAAAACCATCAGATTTTTTTGTTTACACATAACCTATGAAACACAAAAGTTCTTAATATGGAGTCCATGAACTTGTTTATTTTAATATTTTTTATTTTAATATTTTGATAAAGATAATTCAACACAATTGGTTTCCTTTGTATGCATATATTTATTATTATTAGCATACGCATTTTAAAATTTTATTTTAAGAAAGGGCCAATAGGCTTTACCAGACTACCAAAGGGGTCCATTGCACAAAAAAAGTTAAAAACTTCTGAATTAAACAATAAAGTACAAAAGAATTAGAAAATGGTATAAGATACAACCAAATACACAAGAGAACATGGTATAGTGAAAAGAGTGAGTGTCGTGGAGTCAAAGGACCTGGGTTCAAATCCTTACTCTGACAGTTATTAGCTATGATCCCAAGCAAGCCTCTTAGCCAAGGTTCATGCAAACATGCCCTGCTTTCCCAATTCCTGATTTCAACTTCTCTTGATTCTTTATCTCTTTCATATTATAAGAGTTGTAAGGGAATTCAATGGCCATCTAGCCCAACCTATATGTGGTGGAAATAAATCTTCTCTCCAGCACACCTAAATGTTATCCATCCAGTTTTGCTTTTAGTACTCTTGTATGTGGGAACCAATAACCTCCTGAGGCAACCCACTTTTGGCTAGTTCTAATCGTTAGGATTTTCCTCCCTTAAAACAAAGCTATATTTGCCTCATTACAACTTCCATTCATTTCTCCTAAATTTGCCTTCTGGCCCACTGCCTAAGGCTTGGGATCTGTTTTGTTTGATTGTTGACTTTCTGCTACCCAATATGGAACATGACAAAAAGGCTGACATGCTTTATCAGTAGCTGGGCTCATTCAAGAACCTCGGAGAGGAAGTCTTTGTCATTCCATTTACTATTTATGTGAGCTTGGGCAAGTACACTTTTTTTTAAACATATATTCATCACTAATTTAATTCTTTTCAATTAGCAAGCATTAATTTTTCCTTCCTTCCACCTCCCCACTCACTGGAAAAAAATAAGGAAAAACAAAATCTTTGTGGTAAAAATATAATCAAACAAAAAAAATTCCTGTATTAACTATATCTGAAAATGTGACTTATTCTTTACCCTCAGCCCATCACCTCTCTGGTAACATTCTTGATGGGTAACATTCTTGATCATTGGCCCTCTGAAATCACTATTAGTCTTTGCATTAATCAGAGTTCTTAGGTATTTCGAGGTTGTTCATATTTTCAATGTTTTTTTCTAGGATAAACTGTTCTCCTAGTTCTGCTTCTTGCCTTCTGCATCAGTCCATATAAGTCTTCCTAAGTTTTTCTGAAACTATCCCTTTTATCATTTTTTTTATTTTTTGCTTAGTCAGTTGGGGTTAAGTGACTTGCCCAGGGTCACACAGCTAGTAAGTGTCAAGTGTTTGGTCAGGTCCTCCTGACTTTAGGGCCGGTGCTGTATCCACTGTGCCACCTAGCTGCCCCACCTTTCATCATTTCTTACAATGCAATGATATTCCATTATAGTCACACATTGTAATTTGTTCTTCTGTTCTCTAATTGATGGGCGCATCTTTAGTTTCCAGTTCTTAAATGGGCAAGTATCTTGAGACTTTCCTTAATTTCTGTATTTATAAAATGAGGAGGTGGATTCAGCCGAGGTTCTATGCTCATTAAACAGAAGGCCTCCGTAGGATTCAGTCAAGCCTGAAAGTCAGTAAGCCAGAATCATTTGTTGAGCATTGATTTTGTCCAAAAGTATCACATGAAGCCTTATAGGAATTTCTGGGGAACAACAGATTCAGATTATGTGTGGCTAAGAGATCTCTGTTTACCATCTGATAGAACAGAAGGATCCCTTGGGGAAAAAGAAATTACTGTGACTTCTCAGCCTTGGCACA